GGTTGATCCTGACTAGATGGCCTTGCTGGCCACTTGCAGTACTGCCATAGAGTGTACCTTACCAGATTTTATGTCCTCTTCTAAGAAATCTCTCATCTTAACCAGCTCTAGGAACTTTTGACCTATCATTCCCATCATCGTTTCAAAGTATATTCCCTCTTGGGCTCGGATGAAGTACTTGGTTAGTTCACTGTCGTCCAGTGGCGGTTGTGCCCTAGAAGCCTCCGTCCTCCACCATTGTGCATATTCTTGAAATGACTCAAATGGTTTTTTTCTGCACGTTCACCAGCACGAACCGATAAGGAGTGATCTATGTATTGAATCGAAATGGTATATGAAGTCCTTTGCCATATCTTGCCAAGTTCTCCAATTTTGCGGGTCCTGTCGGGTATTCCAGGTGAGTGCTTCTCCCGTCAGACTCCTTATAAACAATTTAATCCTTAGTTTCTCATTCCTCCCCACTCTGACCAACTTGTCGCAATAAGCTCTTAAATGTTCGTGAGGGTCCCCCTGTCCCATCAAAGGTATTTAAACTTTGGGGGTTTGTATCCTACTGGCATATCCACATCTGGGTGAATACACAGGTCCTCATAGTCTAGGCTTTCACTTCCTCAGGCAACTTGGAGACTCTTCATTTGCCTTCTCAATATTTGCAACTGCTCAGATACCGACTCTTCTTCCTACGCCTGGCCTCTCTCTCCATCTCGGCGTACTGATCGATCTCATAAGGCACCATGATTATGATGGGTGCTGTAAAGGTAGGTTCGATAACGGCATATACATGGGGCACGTACCGCTCGTGAGTAGTGGCATGTGCTGGTTGGTAGTGAAAGTGACTCTGTCACGAGGATAGGTATTTGCATTAGTGGTAATAGGCGGGTTTTGTGATGTATGAGGATATTTTGGTATTAGGGAGTGTGAATAGGGGATTTGGTGGGTTAGCGAGAGTTCCTGGAGGTATGACTTGAGTGGTGGGGGTTGAGGTTGGAGTGTCGTTCTTTTGACATGATGTTGAAGGAAAATGATCCGAAAGTGAATCCAAAGAAGGGAATTTGGGTGGTTGAGGAAGTGTTGTCACGCCCAGGTGCACCAAATCTCTGATATGTTGTACCTCCTTGCTTAAAGATTCCATTTCTTGGGCCATCCTGGCCACCTGTTCATCATTCCTAGTGTTGTCCTTTTCCTCCGATTGCCCCGGGTTGTCAGCTACGACCAGAGCATGTTTAGTTGGGTCTTCTGCAGCTGGCATCATTCCTTTAGACCTTAGATTGTATGGTGGCTCCGCCAATTTAGTCGACGCAAACCAACTTTCTTTTTTGGGGGGGTAATAATAAAGCAAAAGAAAATAAGAAGAAAGAAAGGAAAAAGAGCAAGAGTCAGTCTCTTCATTTTATATGGGCAGAAAATCACATAGAGCAGGCAATTTGTGCATTACAAACTAGCATGTTCCTAAAATTCGCAGGGACCTCTCATTGCTGGAGGTAGGCCTAATTCACGGATGTTTGACAGACATTTTGACTTGACACATTTAGATCCAAAGAAATTTGTTTTCATTGATAATTTGGAGTGATACAACGGGAACAAAGATTACATCATAGAGTTGCATGGGCTTAGACAATTTTCCCTTTTGGAAAGTAAAAGAGAGAACTGGGGATAAAGGTACAAAGTAAGGAAAGGAGGGGAAATCAACCAATTCTAATAACCATCCCCTGAGTTTCTTCCTGTACCCTTCTCTTCTTCTGGTTCTTCCTCCGGTTCTTCCTCAAACTCTTCCTCATCATCATTGAATTAAGACTCCTCTTCTAGATCTTCTTCTAGTTCTGTGCTTGACTCTATTTGGATGCATTCTACTACCCGATCATCCTCTTCAGCCGGTGGCAACATATGGTCAATGCATCCCGAGACCACCTGACGATGCATTGATGTGGTCACAAGATAATGTGGTAGGATTTTATGGTAAATCTGCAAAGTAACCACCATATTCTCTAACCAAGCATTACCCTCTCTGCTCGGGCGGGCCAGTTCTTCTTCTTCGTTAATCTAGTTGTTACCAGGTCATTCCACTCTTCTTGCAGTTTCCTTGTCCTGGGAATTGGAATCTGGCAATTGTAGTCATCCTCTTACAGCGTCGTCCTTGTCCACAGAGGCATATCTTGGATCATGCCAAATTGTCCGAGGACCCGCAGAGGTGAGTATGGTTAAATGCCTTCTAATCCGATCAACCCGATGAAGTACTTTTGGGGAGTTCTCAAGATTGATCTTCCACCTAACCAAGAGAGTTTCCAGTTGATCCATTCTCCTGTCAGATTGGTCAGTGTTTCCCTCCATTCTTCTTGCCCATGTGGGGAGATCGAGTGTCATATTCTTTCATTATGGATGCAGATCATATTATTGACACCCACGGAGTAGTCGACAGTGGCATCCCACTGGAAGAAGTGTTCAGTATCCCAAATCTGAAGCAGCAAGTTGCATCCTTTGAAAAAATTGTATCCCCGTTCACATGAAGATAAGGCTTTCAACATCTCGGCCAACACTATCAGCACCAAAGTAGCTTGAAGATTGCTGCGGAAGATTTCCAGGGCCACTAGTTACAGGTTGATGTTGATACATCCCCTTCGCTATGGGAAGACCAATAATCCCAACAGTGCCATTGTGAAAGTGATAGGCCTGAGACTCTCCCACGTTTCCAGGTCACATTGGAACTCCCCTGAATACCACTCGCAGCTTTCACGGTGCCCAAATCCGTCTAACATCTGGTCGAGGCTCACACCTCCGTCCTCAATACTTCTGAGGCTTCTGCTAATAGTAAGACCTAAAGCATCCAAGAACCGATAATCGGGCATTATAACTGGCAGCATTGGCTTTCTTCCATTGAATGGAAGCTCCATAAAACTTGTGATTTCCTCCAATATCGGTACCAACTCACAGTCGGCAAATTTGAATACCACTTTAACTAGATCCCAAAATTCTATCAACAAGAGAGTGAGTACTCTGTCTGCTCTGATGTTCATCAATGCAGTTAATATCCCTAAAGGCATCCGAACTTCATCTCCGTGTTCCCGAGGAATATTCTTCCACCACCGTTTTAGCTTATGTGGTGCTCCCATTATCATGCTAATTTCAAGGATGTTGTGGTTGATTTTCATTTTTCTGAGGTGGGTAGAAGAAAAATATTTGGATAAATGTTTGCTTCGGATCCGTAAATGTCTTGTCAGGTTTGTTTGTCTTTCCACAAAAATTATGTTGTTGGGTACATGACCCCGTTGACATCAGGGTGGCTTTCCTAATTGTGTATTGGTGCCTGGGACCAACTCACCTAGGGTTTATGTAGTATGACGTATTTTACTAGAGTAGAGTGCTTCCAACTTTTGAATTGGACTGAGAACTGCGAAAAGTTATGTCAGTTAACCTAGCAAAGCCATTCTCAGAAACTAGAGAGTTTTGAAAAGAAGGTTCGGAGGGGTGTAAAAGACAACCCTCGCGTGCCATTGTGTGTGATAGTGTACGTCCAAGATTCGATTGGAAGAGATGTGATGACATTGTATATAAAGCAGTAACAAACAAGGATGTAGCAGCAATATAGCAAAGTGAGCAGACAATTGTAAAGAGCAGATAAGGCATGTAAGAATTTAATTCCAATTTCGATCATAATCAAAGCAATGTAAAAAGAAATCTAGAAGCCAAATTAGTCTAAATCTGCTAAGGTAAGAACCTAAGTGTGTATCCCCAGTAGAGTCGCCATGTTGTTGCACCCTAATTTGCACTAGTCAAGACAAGATTCAACCTGTGGTTTCTCTGTTATTGATGAAAGAGAGTCGCCACCTAATATTTAAAGGTATACTAGGGTACCTATTTGATTACTAAGTCATGCTCTTATTATTAGTCTGCTATCCGGTGAGATTATGGGTAAGAGTTCTTATTCTTCTAAGGGGAAGGTGTTAGGGACCCCTTAAAATCTACCTAAGGTAGCTCCATAGGATTTAGACTAAGTTTGGGATCAATTATTTGTAAAATGCTTTGACTAGCGATAGGGAATGCTGCTTACTGTATACCTAAGTATGATATTAATAGAAAGAATGCGGGGTCCTAAAGGGATATAATTTTATGAAGAGGTTCATAAGAGATATTAAAAGAGTCTTGAAATTGACATATAAGTGGTCTAGATTTTATAAGTTTATAAAAGAGATTGAGTTATGAAAATACTTTGATTTGGGGGATAGTTATTTACATAACTCTAAAGGGACGGTTTGTAAGAAAGTGAGCCTATAATTACCTTAGATTTTGAGAGTTTTCAAAGAAGAGGTTATTTGCCGAAAATTTCTTAAAGGCGACAGTTCTTGAAGTTCTGATTTTCCTTTTGAAAATGAAGTAGAGATCTGATTTTCATTTTTGAAATAGAGCTGTTGTTTTGCTAAGTGGAAAGATGGGTGAGTGAAAAATATAATAATTTGTGAGCAGATTATAATTAGTGATTACGGATCTACTTCTAACTAATTTTTCTTTTAAATCCTATATTATTTAAGGCTTGCCTAAGTTTATATGATATTAAAGTATAAAAGAAAAGCATGAGATCTAATATATGAGTGTTATATACATGATATATAAACAACAACAAAGACATATACTACTAGAAATTGGGTTATGGCAATGCTTTTTATTGCAACGGATCAGTAACTGTTGCTATAGACGGTGTATTGCAACGACTTTAACACCCTAACCGTTACAATAATATAAACTTTAGCACCCTAACCGTTGCAATAATATAAAAACCGTTACAATAGATGTTTATATGGCAACAATTTTCATAACCGTGACAATAATTCTATCTACGGTAACGGTTGGATAAAAAATTTTTGCCATCTCAACGGTCATTAATTCCCAAAGGAATTTTTCACCCAATTTTTCTACATCCGCTAAAACTACAGGGGCCCAAAATCTGATTTTATATTTTAGTTTTTAGTTTTTATATCTAATAAAATACTCTAAACCCCAAATTTTAGTACAAGCCCCACTCACAAAATTAAGACCGACCCTTCGATATTCTCTTCCAAACCTACACCTCTGTTGGTTCTTCCAGAAATTACTAGGAGATTAAACAACCATCCATCACTGGCGGCAGCGGCGTCGGCGTGCTAATCCTTTAGGGTTTCTCCAAATCTTGTTAGAGTTTATGGTCAGAGAATCGAAAGACAAGTTGGAAATCGAAGAGCTCTCATTCTTTCTTGTTAAACTTATGAATTTCTTCCTTCCTTAAAGTGGTGAGTATTTTCTACTGAAGCTTCGAATCTACGTTAGAGATCTATTACCGTCTTTCTTGTTCAAGTTTTTACTTAGTCTTTCTCTTTGCTCTTGCTGTCATTAAGATGTTGATGTCTGCTAAATATGACAAACAATGTTGATGTCTGTCACTCGTTTATGAAAGATTGTGAGTTCCCTTTGAATTAGTTTCCATTTCTTCATAGCCCCATTTTTCTTTTCCTTGGTTTAGGTTTCTTGAGTTAATTGCATTTTTGTTAAAGATTACATTTTGGAGTTTTCTTGATTTATGGGGTGTCTATCTGTCATTTTGTTCGGTGGAGTGAAAATCCCTTCTTCCGTTTTAGAAACTAAAACGATGGTTCATCGATTAGGTTGTCGGTGGTCAAAAGTAGAAAAGAGGTTTTAGCTAAGCTCACATTTCTTGGATCTTTCTATTTTAGTAGTTTTCAGTTATAAAAGTTATAGCGAGCTAATGGCTCTGGAGGCTCAGCTAAAACGTTCAATGTGACTCAATTGAAGACTTTGTATGAAGGAGCCAATAGTCTATCTAATTAATGTATAAGCATATGTTTACGATTTGCTGACCTGCTGACACTTCTAATGACTATCGAAGATGGTCTGACCAATTAATTTAGCATTGAGACAGTCGTAAATCTTATCTTTTTCCCTTATTTGTCATAGTCTGTCATTGAGAGGCCAGAGGGAGTGAACTTTGTTGAGATATAGTTTCTATGTTACCTCATCGTAAGTTTTCTTAAACTCTTTCTAATATAAATTTAGGATAATCAAATTATAAAAATTTCAGTTTTACTATTCCTTGTTACCTGATTCAATTGATTTTATTTTTATTTTTGAGATTATTTGAGCGATGTAGTGTGATTGAATGGAGATTCAACACACTGGTGCATGTCTTCTGATTGTGCTTGAAATTGTGATTTCTACGACCTCAATTATTTTTTATGTGAAGCTCTATGTCGCTTGCAGGTTAACTAAAATCTGATTGAAATAACTAAGCTACGACCATAGGGAACTTCTATGTTTCTTAGACAGCCACCTTCCTACTGAAGTGACCAACTTGAGGTTTACTTGATAAGTATGTTAGGAAAGTTCATCTTACTTTTAGATTCAAGCATTAAATTGTAATAGTTAGTTCAAATGCTGGAAACATTATCTTTAGGTCAATACATGTCAAACTGTCATACTTGAACTTTGAATCTATATGTTTATTAATCATATGTCATCTAAGTAACTGATAGACATAAGAGCTCATGCCTATATGACCTAAAATATTTAGAAGGATGTTTAGTTGTTGATAATGTGTGTTGTTGTGTGATCTGTTTTTTGCGATCCTCATACCTTCTTGGGAAATAGCTTACTGTCAAAATGAACTTGATCCCATATGTGTAATACCTGGCCAAATAAAATGCCTACTTAACCCTTCAAATTAAATATGTGAAACTCATTCTCTCTTTTTTGTACATATTTTAACATATAAACAAGTTTGAGCCTAAGTTATTGGGTTTATATGAATATGTAACTAAAGCACTGCATTTGCCTTTAGTAGTGGATGATGAGGATATTAAAAACAAAAGTAATAGGCTTTTGGTAAAGCTGAAACATTGTTGGGATCATGAATAGATAAGCTAATGTTTCTTATTTTGAGTCCAAAACAGCTTCTACAATTGAGGAACAATGTTGTCTCCGACTGTTGCTAGGAAGCAATGAACTTATTGATAGAAGTTATCCTTCACTCATTTATCTTTGCTTGCTATATTTTACATTTCCATTTAGTATTGTTTTGCCCCCCAAGCATATACAAAATACCAAGAGATATTCATTTGTTTCCTTACCTTAATATTCTGTTCTTAACTTACGAATGCTATCTGGCTCTCTTTTTTTTGGTCTTCTTGTGTATACATGTATGTTCATATTCTTTTTCAGGTTGTAGGCCTGACAACTGTAGCTTAATATTTTGACCTCCCGTTGATAAGCAATTTTTGTTTTTGATGGTGTGCTATGCATGAGCTCATGTTGTGCTCTAAACAAAACATATTGATATATTTGTCAATAAATAAACAAATGCTTATGGATTTCCTTTTTGCTGTATAATTTATCTTACAATGCTACTGGTTTGGTAATAGTATCCTTCTTCATCTTCCTGATTTAGTTTAATATGCCTTCTCTTTCAATATGATTATCTTTCGGTCATCTATTACACGTAATTTATATAAGATTTGCATGGTCGACTGACCTAATTTCAGTTTAGAAGTAAATGTAAATTGTTTTGCAGCTGAGGAAGTTTCATATTTCATGTACATGTAGATCTCTGTAGTTGAGTCCATATCTCTCTGTGTAATCTCCTCCATTTTTAATTTTTTTGGATAATCTTTATGGCATCTCCCTTTTTTAATCTATATCGCTCTATAGTTGAGACCATATCTCTGTGTATCTCTCTGTGTTCCTTCATTATTTTGGTATTATGTTGGAATTGAGTTGCTTTAAAATGGAGTCGGAGGTTTTGAGTACTAATGTCATTTGAAAATATAGAACCTGTCAGTTGTCTTATGGAGATATTGAAAGTTAGAAAATAGTTAGCTTCTTCTTTGGGATAACAAATGATTAGGATTATTTATGTATGGCATAATGATATTTTGAGCAGGTTAAACTTTTTGGGATAGTCGTAATTACAAAGGAGACTCTGCCGAAAATTTTAAGAATTTGGAGAGTTCAAAATTTTTTGAGTTGTCAAATTGGTTATAGTAAGAGACTGGAGCAAGTCTTCATCTCTTGTTAGCCTCTTTACTCTTCAAATGGGTTGCTTGTATTTTAGCTTGTTGTTCCTCTTACATAAGGAATTGTGACAGTAAATATAATTCAACTTTGGTAGGTAAATCATCGATAACGAATCAATTACCTTGTGATTCAAATGTCTCAAAATTTTCTTTGTTTAATCATTTATTGATCGTCATTTGTAGGTACAGGGATTGCAGGTGAAAGCAGTGATGAAGACCTTACATGAGTGTTGTTGATCGTTGCTAGACTTTCTTATTATGTTCTAGGGTATTTTATGTCACGCCCCGAGTCTGGGGGCGAGACCGGCACCCGGTGCCTCACCTATCCTTGCGTACCACTTGCGACTAAGAGACTCTGAACATGTAATGTCATACTTTGGCCATGGGCCACATTACAAGATAATGTGCGATGCAAAATATAAAATTGAATAGAGACTAACGCTGACTAAATGTCAACATAAAGTTGGGCCGGCAAGGCTGCCATAATTACTACAATTGACAAGCCAACAACATATACGTAGAGGGCCTACAAGCCCAACATATTGCACTAACTGACAAGATATGTCTACAAGCCTCTACTGATGGATGTACTGTGATCGGAACAGGGTCCCGACCTACCCATAACCTATTTACATATATACACAAGATGTACACAAAACTTCTAGACCCGGCAACTCCGAAGGACGGTGAGCTTACCGATAAAGCTGAACTCGGGCAACACATACTGAGGAGGTCTACTCGTGTGTCTGTCTGAACCTGCACACATGAAATGCAACGCCCCCANACCATCTGATCAGAGGTTGCCCAATAGGGGCCTGCCCATCGGTTATAGCTCGATGGTAATGAAATTACTATAATACTGTATATGTATACTCTTTGCTCTCATGACTGGATAAAGGAAATACTCAAATGAATATGAAGTCCTGATAAAGAGATATTGTAACTTACAAAACTAGAAAAATATACGTAAATTTCGGGATATGAATTTTTCTTTATGCTCCGTTATCAAACTCGTGTAATTACGAGATCATGCCAAAATGAAAGAAGGGCTTAGCCTTAACATACCCGGAGTGGGAAAAAATCCGTATGATGTTCGTGGAAAAAGGTTGCACCGTGCTCCGTTAGAATCGTAAAATTTTACGTTGCTAAAGTTTCAATAATTCTCGTTGGGTTGGTTGAAGAATCACGTTGCTTAATATAATATTTGGAATCTGATTCAAGTGTTTGAAAATGAAAAGTTGAAAATTCCTAAGAATGGCCAACGTTTCCTCCACTTCTAATTGTAGTGTTTGAGAATGAGATTTGTTGAAAGTTTAAATGAATTCACTTCTGACGGTAGAATCTTTGGTATGGAAATGTTAAAATCTAATTGTAGTATCTTGAGAATGAATTTGTTGAAATTCATCGGAATGACTAACGTCCCCACTTGTCATTGTAGTATCTTTGTATGTAAATTCTTTGAATTGAAATGCCTTGTATTTGGCATATTAGGTTGCCACCTAATAAGAATGACTAAGAATCATTCCTTTGAGATGTGGCTTGTTGGCACGTGGGGAAGGGGTGGGAAAGTTTAATCTTTATCCACTTATTAGGTAATTAGGTAATGTCCTGTTACCCGATAATTAACCAATTACCTGCATAATTAAGAATTATCTCAAATTACTTAAAATTCTACTTATTTTTAATACACTTTATACATCATACTATCATGGTCATATGGTACTTTGTATGGTACTAGTTCATAAATATCAGGTATTATTGCTCGGCCCGTATATTATCCAAAATCGACAACTTTCAATGAAATTCATTTTCTTTAATTCGTGTACCCTTTATCTTTCGTGGCACTTACTTATTGCTTGTTATAAATAGCATAAATATGCTAACCTCAAGATAATCTCATCTCCCGAGTCTATGTCAATTAACTGAAGACGAAACTTTAACGTACGAGAAATGCGAGATGTAACATTTTAGTTTAGAACTTTTTGTATGCAAACTCATCTATTTTAACTTTGAATTATTGATCAAACAATGTATTCATATTTTGTTTTTGTCTATGGATAAAACTAGTTGGATATTTTAATGTTATTTTGTAGTTTATATAAGTTATGGTGTATAAACTTTTGTTGCATGGGAAATATTCCTCATTCTGAAACTATAAATATATGAAATTACTTGACAATATAACCGTTGTAATAGACCTAGCAACAATAATAACATTCCCTAATAACTGTTGCAATAGATCACAAAAACCGTCGCTATAGCCTTAAAATAGCATTGGCACAAATATATTAGAACGGTTTATAACTGTTCCACAGATTGATGCAATAGTTTCATAACCGTTATAATATCCCTATATGGGAGCGATTTTGCAACCGTTACAAATAACCGTTCCAATGACCTATGGTAACGCTGAATCCCGGAACGAGTCCTAAACCGTCTCAGTAGCCCTATAGGGTCGGTTAATGTATCTACTGTAACGATTTTAGAAGGGTTGCCATAGGCCTTATTTCTAGTAGCTAACATTAATTTAAACTAACAGAAATAGTAAGCTATACTAACGAGATAGTAAGTGATAAAGAGTTGAGGGAAAGAGGATTGGACTTTGTGATTGGGCCTCAAGAAGGTAGGCCCAACAGTAAAGAGATGCGAATACAACTGACTTTGGCTCCTCGACGAGATGCAATAAGGCTGGAATAGGGCCTGAGTTCATGATGAACGCAGGGGCCCAAACAGATGTACATGTCAAAAATAAGAAGGTCATTAGACATATATCCAATATATTTAGCGTGTTCTAACTACAGATCATACTTTGATGCATATGACAAATACACAAACAGATAATTAAAGCAAGAATAAGATTAATATGGTAGAGAAAATTATATATTAATGTGGTGGCTTTACTTAGCAAATAATTCACATTGGAAACCTTTCGTTATCATTAATAACTAAACCTTTAAAGAACTTGATGCGTCAATGAATTAGGAGCTAAAGAGGGAGCCCTACTTAAGGTCGATGCTCCTTTTGGATCCCCCGACACTTCAAAGTTCCCAAGGGACTCAAGGCCCAGGGCAATACTTGTGCCGGAGAGGGTAGCCCAACCTAAAGTCGAATTCCGCTCCTAAATACCCTTAATCACTGACGACATATTTTCCTTACGGGTTTAAGTTCCAATGAGGTCCTTCCAATAAAAACTAAGTACTAAGGTATTACTTACCACAAGATATATACTTTCCTCTTAATGAAAATAATACAAGAGAATACAGATTACTTTGATACTTAATAAGGAAAACATATAAAGTAAACCTAAAGCGGCTGACTTCAGAATACATATAGATAAAAAATATTTCATAATCATATTGTTGCAGGAATGAATCATTAAGGCACAACATATTCAAATAAGTGTCAATAGCATTTCTTGGAACCTTAAAGATCATCAATGCAGATTCAAACCAATAGTCATGGTCAGTTATTTTTACAGAGAGGTTATCAAGATCATGGGATTAAGCTCTCATCGTGACGACAGGTTCAAACATGGCACCCCTAAGGTCTCAAAAGGGTCATGCTTCTAACAGTATTAGCAAGTCAATGTATTCAGATAATATCAACAAATAGGCTTCATAAGGTTTGAGAGTCAAGTTCAACTTCAGGTTAACAATAAGGAGGAGGGCTTGAGAGTCAAGTTCAACTTCAGGTTAACAATAAGGAGGAGGGCTTGAGAGTCAAGTTCAACTTCAGGTTAACAATAAGGAGGAGGGCTTGAGAGTCAAGTTCAACTTCAGGTTAACAATAAGGAGGAGGGCTGAGCATAACTTAAGGTAGAACATGATGTTACAGAGTTAAGCAAGGAGGCTAGCAACATTCAGTCAATTGTTCATAGGCAAAATAAATGAAATAGTGATCGCATGTAGGTAGAGGAACTTTACACATTATAGAACCAATTACATAACTAAATCAACATATTGGTAAAAAAAGGAGATGGAAAACATTGCATCAAAACAAGTTCAAACTCAAACATAAATCTAGTTCAACATATAGGTATGAAGTGATCATGCTTCAACTCCTAAAAGGGTCACTTGATTATAACATAGTGTCTAAGTCCTTTTTTCATGGAAGATAAGTTAAATATAGATGCATGCAAACTTTACAAAATCAACAGGGGCTCAAAAGATTAATGACAGGGATGTACTGCACAAGTTTTGAATTGCACATGTATATGAATATCTCAACATGATTATGGGAGAAACGAACATAGTTATGCAATAATTATCAGTTGACTTTATCCAAACAAAATCATGACTTACATTAAGGGGAAGATAACTTAACCTTAACAGAATATATATAACAAAAGGGTTCAGGAGAAGGAGACATGTTGATGCAAATAAGATAGTTTCCTATAACAGCTGAGTATGATCATGAAAAGGTCATAGTGATAGCCCATATATCACCCTCAGAGTTAGTAAATATAGATGTAGAGAAGGAAAGTATCTAATCACTTAAATTCTTTCAACTTAAGTGACATGGACATATTGAATTTTCAGGAGTATATCAGTTAAGGTTACCAAATAATGAAATCAACCATAAGGCAAGTAAGGTGCAGGGAAACAAGATGAAGTCTCAACAAAATCATCAGTGAAGGGAAAGGCATGAAGTTTAGATGAGCATGATTGGTTCAATAATAATGATAGCTAAAACAAAGTAAAAGACTATAGTAGTAACTCAGTAAAATAGTTGGACAACCACAAGCAGAGACACTTCAAGTTTAGGTTCAATGTTAAAAGGCAAGGGGATATAAGTCATCTTAGTTCAGGTTTCATTTCAGTCATAACTATCAGGTAGTAAACTCAGCTTCCAAAATTCACAAAATTACAGAAGTGCAATAAGATAGAGATGAGTTTAATGCAAGTCACTGAGAACTATGAAGTTTGTATTGAACATAAACATGTAAGAATTCAGGCATGGAGACTGTAGGAAAACTCAGAACAAAGATCAACAATTATCAATGACTTAATCGATTATCATTTTAGAGAATCATAACAGAACAAGCTGACCATAAAAGGTTGTCACACTAACAAAGCATAAATATTAAACATGTCAAACACATACAACATAATTATAATCTACAAAACTTAACTAGACATATCTAAATCATTCAGAGAGATGAACAAAAGAAAAAGGGAGAGAAAGATGCTGACCTTCTTAAGGGTAGCTGACCAAACGAGTTCTTTTTGTTGCTCAAGATCCCAGAACATTCGATCTTGAACCAGCAAAAGAACTCGACAAAAAAGAGAGGACACAGTAAGAAAGCTAAGACCAGAAACCCTAATGTTCTTAGTGTCTTTGTGTGCTTAGTGTTCGTGACTGTATGTGTGTTTAGTGTTAGGTTGTTGTTGATGAAAATATTAAAGGCCCTATTTATAGTGCTATTTAAGGCCTTAGAGTTTCAGATTTCAAACTAAGATAGTGGAGAGTGACGATGAGTTAATGATGTG